ACCCTTGCCGATGGCTCTCCCGCACCGTCCCCTCCCCTGCACCCTTCCCTGCACCCTTCCCTGCACCCTTCCCTGCACCCTTCCTGCAGGCGTGCAGCTCTGCTGCGGGAACCTTCCTGGACAGTTCTTGGACCCTTCCTAGACCGCTGCTCGAGGCGACTACGTAGGCGCGCAGCCGTCGCGCGGGAAGCAAAGCGCCTCTTCCCGCTCTTTGCGCCGCTCCGTCGCGCGCTCGCGGCACTTTGCAGCACGCGACAGCGGTGCCGCCCACGGCATTGTCTCTTGACTGGTCGGAGAGGCTTGCTTTAGGCCCACTTCAACACCACCGCCGACCGCGTCATCTTTGGGGGCGACGACGGGGTCTGGGAGCCTAGCTGCTGCATGGACTTGCGTGCGCACTCTGGCCACGAGGGACACCAAGAGGGCTTTCCTGGACCTTTCCTCGACCTTTCCTCCACCTTGCCCAGACCTTTCCTAGACCTTTCCTAGACCTTTCCTAGACCTAGAACACCGCTAGAACACCCGTGGCAGGCCAGAGCAGATCAGAGACACTCCGAGTACGCAACACACTCCGAGTGCGCAACACGACCCCGTCTCCCCCCCCTCCCCCTCCCCTTCACCTCCCCGCAACTCATGCACTAGGGCTGGGAGCGGCTCGGCGCGCCGTCGGTCCAGGTCTACTTGCCGAACATGCTCTGGCACACGGTGCACAACAGGCGCACCGACGCCGTTCGTGGAGATCGATGACCCGTAGTCGTGATCCGTCTGAGTCAGTACACCACACACAGCAGGCATGGCGGCGTGAGGCTGTGAGCAAGCGTGAATAGGCACACCGACGCAGTCTACGTGCGCCACTTGCGCCGCTACCTCGGCGGCCAGCGTTTCGACGAGCTGCGCTGCTCTGCCGCCACCGCCACCTCCTTCCTGCTGCCGCTGGTCGCCCCGGCCGGTGCGGAGAGAAACTCCCGAGACACCTCCAAGACACCTCCGAGACACCTCCGAGGCACTCCCGAGACGTTTCCGAGACACCTCCGAGGCACTTCCCGCACACCGCGTCGCATCCGCGCCCACGTCTCTCGTGCCGGCTCCACACCTCGCTTCCCACATGCCGTACCCGCGCTGTCGGCCAGATGCCCCTCTGCCCACTCTGCCCACTCCCCCACTCGTTTTGCGCTGCCTGCCCGTGCCCCGCCCTCTGCACCCCCCCCACACGCACCCCCCCACACCCAAACACACTCATTCCCTTGTCAGGCGCCGGGCTGCTCTACTATGACGCGCCTCGCGGGCAGATCTCCGAGAACGAGCACCGGTACACAGTGGGGACGCTGCACGCCTTTGCGGTCTGGACCCCCCACTCGATCCGCCCATGGCCGTACCGCGAGTGGGCCGCGGGCGAGGCGCGCGTCACCGTGCAGACGTTTGGGATACGGTGTGGCGAGTGGTGGGTCATGTACCACTGAAACCCATATTCACAGACCTTTTGTTGTGCGGAAGGAGAGAATCCGCTCTCCTATTGCTAGAGGATTCTTGGAACTTTGGATGCATATCGGCAAGCCCAAATAACGAGCTTGAGAGGCTGTCCCCTGGTGCGTGAGCTAATCCTGAGCAACAAAATATAAGCGACTGTACGGCTTTACCACGGAGCACAGAACGCAGCAGACAGGACGGCGGCAACGGCGGACATGGCAGAGACGAGTGTGAGACCAAGGGCGGCGGGCATGGAGGGCGGTAGCGACGGGGATGGTGACGGTGACGGTGGCGAGGGAGAGGAAGGGGGTCCATTAACACCAGACAGCGAGAGGGGCAGGGAGGAAAGGGGGAGAGAGGAAGCCAACGGCGATGCCACCAGCAGCAGGGGACACGATGAACAGGTAGACAACGGCCAAGACGATGGCGAGGACGAGGAGACACGGGACGATGGCAGGCGAGACGAGGAGGACGGAGGCGAGGGCAGAGGCAGCGCCGCAGTCGACGGAGGCGACAACGATGGAGATGGAAAGGGAGCGGCGACATGCGCAGAGGATGAGGATATAAACTGGGACGACGCAGCGGAGGGGATAGGCGAGGGAATCGAGGGGCCGGAGGGCTTTCGCGACAGCGACGATGACGACGAAGGCAGGGGAGGAGACGGAGGGGCGACACGCAGGAGGAGCGAAATCGCGAACGGCCCGAGCAGAGAGGGCGACGGCAGGGCACGAGGGGGCAACGGAAACGCTACCAATGACGCGAACCGAGGCACGGGCGACGGTGGGGTCGGGGACGGGGAGGGCGACAGCGACGTCGAGGTTGACGCAACGGTATCGAGAGCGCCACCCAAAAGGAGGCGGACAGCCATGGAGGTCACCGAATAGGGCGAACGGCGCGATACGAAAAGGCCCAGGGCGAGGCGGATGGAGAAAGAAGTGCCGAGGAGGCCATGGTGGAGGGGAGGGACGGGAGGACGAAAGAAGGGCGAGGAGGACGAGCGGCCCGCACAGACCGCGAGCAGACAGCGCCTGCTGGCCATCTCGAGACATTCGCAAAGAACGCTAGCTACGTGGGAGGGCTTCGTGAAGGATGGATTGAAAAACATTCGAACAAAGAAGAGGCGACGGGAGGAACCGGCGGAGGATGCAGTGACGTGACCCCCTCCCCCCCCCCTCACACACACACACACGCACACACACACACGCACGCACACACACACACACACACACACACACACACACACACACACACACACACACACACACACACACACACACACACACACACACACACACACACACACACACACACACACACACACACACACACACACGCCGCTCACCCACGCGCACTGGGCCTTGCACTTTAAATGCCGTGGGGCTCCTGTCGTCAGACGTGGAGACGCGAGGGTTGCCCCCCCTTGCCCCACCACCTCGTGTGTGTGGAGAAGTTTACCTTACCTTACCTACCTTACCGCGCGGCGCGCGCCGCAATGACACGCCAGCGAGAAGTGCGAGACTCAGAGCCAGTGACAGCAGCGACGCACAACAACTGCAGAACGAGTTCTTTCCGACGCTACACGTCCTTGGCGCTGCCAAGGCGGCAAGGCCGGCAGCACGTCCACTGCACGAATCGCTTGACCAGCACGGTCGTGCATGCGGCTGTCTTCTCGATGATGATGTGGACATTTGTCAAAACGGGAAGGAGCTCAATATCTGTTCCAGCGAGGCCCCTAGTACGAGCGGAGCAAGCAAGTGAAGACGTTTTTTTCTTTTGAGCTTGCCTTCGTAAGGGACGGGACACAGCACACACACACAATACACACCGCACCGCACCCTGCACCCCGCGCCCGCCCCCCCCACCGCCCCGTCTAGGTTGGAAAGAGACGAGGAGATGGAACAGCCCGAGGAAAAAAGAAAGAAAGAAAGAAAACAGACAACCCAAACGAGGGGACACGGATTGAAGATCCCTCACACCAAGATCGTGCAGGGCGGGGACACATGTCCCTAAATCCCATCTCGTCTCAGAGTTTGCCCGTTTTATTTATTTATTAGACAACCCAAACGAGGGATGGGGGAGGAGGACAGGGTAAAAAGAAAGAAAGAAAGAAAACAGACACGCCAAACGAGGGATGGGAGACGAGGACAGGGTCCCCACCTGCACGAGCAGGATTTTGGAAGAACGATCAGGGGGCAGAGGATGCAGTGACGTGACACACACACACACACACACACACACACACACATACACACACACACACACACACACACACACACACACACACACACACACACACACACACACACACACACACACACACACACACACACACACACACACACACACACACACACACACACACACACACACACACACACACACACACACACACACACACACCGCTCACCCACGCGCACCGGGCCTTGCACTTTAAATGCCGTGGGGCTCCTGTCGTTAGACGTGGAGACGCGAGGGTTGCCCCCCCTTGCCCCACCACCTCGTGTGTGTGGAGAAGTTTACCTTCTCACTGTTCGAGGTTTTGAACGGCTGAACGACCGAGATATTCAGATCCGTGCGCAGAAGTCCCTTTCAAATACCCCAAAAATCAGTCACCAGCCTCCGGCGGGGCCCCCCGCTACCATCCAAACCCGAGTACCGGTCTACTTATCATATAGATAGAGGCTCAAGTGTGACATAAGTCCCGACACACAACACATACGACATACACATACACAAAGCAACTCTAACGACACACAAGGGGGCACCGGGTGGAGCGGCGGCGGCGGTGGCAGCAGCACGCGCGGGCGGACGGATTCGGACGGGGCGGAGCAGCGACCGCCTGGGGCTGGGCGGCCGACTGGGTCCAGCCCTGGGTGGCGCAAGATCTGACGTTCTGTGACAATCGTCAGATCCGTGTTTTTCTCGTTGTTTTGTCGCTCGCTCCGCTCGCCACCTCACGCTCCGTAGTCCGGCCATGGCCAGTACCCCGCGTCTCAGTGAGACGCGTGGTACCATCCAACTCCGGTCGAAGGGCTCGAATGCGCTCAGCCTCAAGAGGAACAAAACCACGCAAATTCTGCACGCCTCGCTGCGCCGCTGGCTTGACTGAATCAGGCAGCAGGCTGCTGCTGCTGCTGCCACAGCAGCAGTCTGCTGCGGCCCTAATACACAAGTTAATGACTAGCAGCACTGCCGGGGGCATACGAGCCGCCACAGCCGGTGTGCGGCCGTGCACTGCCACCTGCCTGCGGCTACGCACAATGTGCGCTCGCATTGGATGAGCCCTGCTGATGGACCTGCGTCGCCTAGCTGCACGAGAGCAATGCCGCAGGCGGTGGCCGTGGCATACACTGCGAGCACACTCGGTGCAGCTGCGAGGTGCACAGCAAGAGCACGTCGTTCCTGCCTCTGATGCCACTCTCGCGGCTTGTAGCGCGTCACTCGCGCATGCTCTCCAGGAGCTATGGCGGGCGCGTGTGTGGGGCTGTAGCCTGTGTTTGGCCGGTTCTGACCCGTTTACTATCAGTATCATGCCCGGGCCACAAAAAATCGCACACGGGTAGCGGCTCAGGGGCCCAGTAAGTCGCGGAATCGCCAAATGTCACAACCTGCGCCACCCAGGGCTGGACCTAGTCGGCCGCTGCTCTGTCTGCCAGAGCGCGCCGTCTGCCTGCGCAGCTCGAGCGCGGTCAGGTGCGGGGACACGTGGCGGCGCGGGGAAACGCGGCGGCGGTGGCGGCGGCGGCGGCGGGAGCAGCGGCACGCGCGGGCGGACGGATTCGGACGGGGCGGAGCAGCGACCGCCTGGGCGGCCGCTGCTCTGTCTGCCAGAGCGCGCCGTCTGCGCAGCGCCGTCAGGTGCACAGGGAAGCGTGGCGGCGCGGGGACGCGCGGCGGCGGTGGCGAGCAGGCGAGCGGCGCGAGGCCACTTCTTCAGTCTGGGAACTGAAGGGTGGCCACCCTCCTCGTCGAGGTGTGCGCCAAACCACTTCGGCGGCGCGCGCTCCCCTGTGCGTCTGTGTCACCCTCCAGGCCCTCACGCCCCCCCGGCATGTCCACCGGCAAGGAGGCTTCCGTGCCGAGTGACGCGGCGGCCACGGACAGACTCAACGGCAGCGTCGGCGCCGCTGCCAAGCGGCCGCGCGACAGCGAGCGTAGTCACCACTTGAGTGGGACGGTCGAGGCACACGACGGAGCCATCGCGAGCGGCCTTCTACACCGCCCGCCGCCGGCGCAGGCGCGGAGCGCTACCTAGGTACGGCGGACCTGAGAAACAGCGTGCTACTGTGTTGAGTGCGGGAGGCGCGCCTGACTCAGTAAGAGCAGCGATTGCTTTAAGCTGACACCGCTCTAAATGGCGTGAGCGGCGTATCACTAAACGCGACGCCGCTCTGACTACTCGGAGCAGTGACGACCCACCCACACGCTGCTCAACCCCAGGGGCGGGGCTCGCCACGCCGCGCCGCGCGCCACGAGCGATCGTGGATCCGCCGTCGGCGTCAGGTGGCATCGCCGTCCCGGCGTCCCAGAGCAGCGTCTATTCAGGGCGACGCCGCTCACGTCATTTAGAGCGGTGTCAGCTTAAAGCAATCGCTGCTCTGACCATCTAGAGCGGTGTTCACTCAGCAAAGTCCCGCTCTGAAGAGGAGGGGCGGAGGAGAGCGCGACTGAGGGAGGCGAAAGCAGCCTCTCCGCGGAAATTGACCGCTCCCGCTATGTTGAGCGGTGTTGCACTGACTTGACTCCGCTCGAACGTGCTCGGTCGGTGTTTTTCTGAGCAAGAGTCCGCTCTGAAAATTGCAGAGCGGAGTCTTGTTAGGCAAACGCTGCTCTGTGTTGTGCAGAGTGGGGTTTGAGCTTGACGAATGCTGCTCTAGTACCTGCGAGCGGGGTTACTGAGATATAACGCCTCTCTGTATGTATGTATGTAGTAAGGTGAAGAACAGTCAGGCTCGGACTGGACACCAACGCGGTATGGGTGGACGCAAGACAGATGATGACGACACGCACGAGCGACACACAGACACAAACAAGCTCACAAGACACACAGCCAGCGGGCTGCCACACATCCTGAGTGGGCGTACACATCACTCAGGCCACGTCCCCCCTGTCGCCCCCCCCAGCACTCCAAGGTGCCAAGAGACAAACAACAGCACAACAACACAGACAGGCGACAGGGGCGAACGTGTGAGACTAGAGCAGGCTTGCTCCGCCTCTAGCAATCTCGTCGCCGGCCGCAAGGCACGGACGAGACCGTGTGTGGGGTCTTGTGAGGTGTCTATGGACGCCCTCCTCACAGGCTATTGGCCAGCCGCTAGCCCTAACTCGCACTCATGGGTGACGACAGTTCATTGGATGAGTGGTTGCAAGCAGAGGCGCGTGTGCTGAATCTAGATCGCACGCCGTGGCATATGACTTGGGTAGGCGTGCGACCGCAGCGCGCCCGCCGAAGGCTCGACCGGGCGCGCGTGTCAGCCAGAACTTTGCCAGTAGAGCGATCCTGGTCTTTCCGAAGACGAGCCCCGCGCCACAGGTGCCAGCCGTGCCTCCGCGGGAGCCGCCTCTCGAGCCGCGTCCCGCCGGCACTGTCCTTGAGTGCGACCCGCCTTGGTTGGCGACACGCACTCGACGAGGGCAGTCCAGCCGACGGGAACGTGTCGCGCGCCGGCGACGAATGCGGCGGGGTGGGTGTGGGTACCGAGCGCCGCTTCGACGAAGCGAGGTTGGCAGGCGCCCCTCACGAGTCCGTTCAGACATGCCACACGCCCCTCGCAAGCGAGGTTAGTAGGCGCCCCTGGCGAGACCCGCAAGAGATGCCCCACCCCCCTCGTACCTATACTCCACCAATGAGAAGGTGAAGAGATCTTATCGGCCAGCGGGCAGGGCAGGCGGGCGGGCGGGCGGGCGGGGTCGGGGGAGACTATTCCTAGCGGGGTATCCCCTCCCGACCCACCTTCCGAACGGCCTACACCCTATCCAGGCTCCGAACATAGTTGGTTTACGGGTCAGTCGGGGGACCCACTAGGGGGCGGCCCCTCACACGACTGCCCAGTGGGCCCAGGGATGGCGGTGGCGAGTCACTCCGGAGCAGAATAGAGGTGCGCACGAGGCAGGTGGCATAGCACTGCCCACCCCCTTCCACCCCCCCTCGCCCTTCGCAGCCTCTCCCCCCTTCCCCTTCCCACTGCGCTCTGTTGGTTCCTCTGTCCATCTACAGCGTGGGTGGTGGTACACTGCACTGAGTCGAGACAGCTCCGCCACGCCGCCCGCGCCTTCGTCCGCCCCTGGAATACTTACAAATACCCGAAGCGGAATACAATACGCAATTACTTAATTACTTAATGAATTAGGTCAGGACGTGGAATACAATACGCGAGGTCAACTCATATTACTTGAACTCATATCAGGAGCTCGGCAGCAGCGCCGACAGCGGCCCCGCGCCGCGTCGGCGGCGGTCTGAGCGAGGCAGCCTGTACTCCTCAACCTCCTTGGCACTCCCCCGACGAGCGGCGCGCTATGCGGGCCCGCCGCGGGCGACGCGGGCGGCGAGCCGACGTGCGTGCCGCAGTCATAGGCAGCGCTGGCGAAGCGAGGAGGTCGCCGCAGGCCCCCGGATGCGGTCGCAGCGAGAGAAGCGAGACAGCAGATGCTGTCGGAAGGGTGAGGAGCAGCCTGCCGTCGAGCGGCGCGCCGCACAAGCCCGCCGTCGGCGGCCCGGTTCGAGAGCAGGTAGTCGTGGTAGTATTGAGCGCGCAATCGCGCCCGAGCCCTGGCCCTGTAGACCCTCCCAGAAAGTTGGCGATGCTGTACAGCATGCCCAGAGCATACCGGACAGGCTCCCGTCGAGCGACGAGCTATGCTGGCTCGCCGCCGGCGGCGAGCTCGAAGACCCGCGCCGAGCCTCGCCGAGCCTGGCGGGCCCACCCACACGCCCGCGGCCGCAGGCAAGCAAGGCGAGCTTGCTGGCGTCTTTGCCAAGCGCCAGCATGCCAAAAGACACCTCGCAGCCCGCGAGACGTGCCGAGACCGATACGCCCCGGCGCCGCGCGAGCGTCCGGTGGGCTCCCGCACCTAGCGCGCGGCCGCCGCGCGCATTCGCGGCGGCAGCGGCCGGGGGCGGAGCGCGTACATAGACAGTTGTTATGGCGCGGATTTTGTGTGCAGGCGTCTAGCATTCCCCCGCGGTCGACTCTGTCTCTGAGAGCCGAGAGCGGCGTTGAGCGTTTTACTTTTGGCCCTCAGCCGCCAGTGCGAGCGGCAGCCTCCATCCCTCCCTCACCATCCCGCCGTTTACACGTTCCTGGCCGAGGTGGAGGCACAATCATGACCGCTGACGTCAGCGTGGTGCTACCGTGTGCGTACGAGTACGAGTACGCCGCGCGGACAGTCAGGTCCGTGTCGGCGGCGACGCCGCCCGAAATCTTGCGCGAGATAGTCGTGGTCGACGACGGCAGCACGCCTCCGCTTCGCATCCCCGAGCCGGCGCGGTGGAAGGCCTTCGTGGTTCGCCTCGAGAAGACGGGCGGCCTCATTCGCGCCCGGATCGCCGGCGCTGCGGCGGCGACGGGCGCCGTCATCGTCTTCTTTGACTGCCACGTCAGGCCGATGGACGGGTACTGGCGCGGGCTACTCGCGCCGATCGAGGCAGACTACCGCGTCGCCACTGTCCCGACCGTCACCAGGCTGGATGCGGCGACGTGGCAGCCCGTCGGCAGCCCCACGAGAGGAGGCGCAAAGTGCTACCTCACCTTTGACACCGACTTCAAGTGGACGTTCGACGCGACGGACGACGTGCCCATCATGAGCGGCGGGCTGGTCGCCATCAGTCGCCGCTGGTGGAACGAGACGGGCGGCTACGACAGCTCAATGCTCGGGTGGGGCGGCGAAAACATCGACCTCTCCCTGCGCATCTGGCGCTGCGGCGGAGCCATCAAGGCCGCCAAGGAGTCGTACGTCGCGCACATGTACCGGGAGCCGGGCAAGCCCAAGACGGCGGCCCGCTTCCGCGTGCCGAAGGGTGCGCCGACGCGGAACCGCGCCACGTCCGCCCGCGCGCACTTTGGGCGGCTGTGGGCCAAGACGGCGGCGTTCCCGCTCTTTGAAGCGCACCGTCTCGCGCCACCCGACACGTCAAACATCGAGCGGTGGGCAGGATACGGGACACGTCCACATGAACACGCCCACGACACGCCCACGAACACGCCCACGACACGCCCACGACACGCCCACGACACGCCCACGACACGCCCACTTGTATGCCTTCCGACAGCATGTCCCGGAAGCTTCCTGACATGTCCGGAGCCCTCCTCTAGGGCGCTGGCGTCGCTGCGCTGCCAATCCTTCGAGTGGTCTCCACCATCTCCCCGCATCTCCCCACCTCTCCCCCCCTCTCCCCACCTCTCCGGCGTGCACTACAGGTGCCTGCGCAGCTTCGCGTACATCTACCCACAAAAAAGAAATCGCGCTGCGAAAAAAAGAAACCGTGCACCACAGGTACCTGCGCCGCTTCGCGTACATCTACCGCGACGCGGGCGTGCTGCCCGGCTCCATCTTCCAGCTCGAGGGCGGCGGCCGCACATGCCTGTCTTCGACGACGGCCGAGCCGGTGATTCCGCGACACGCCCACGACACGTCCACGACACGTCCACGACACGCCCACGACACGTCCATGTCACGTCCACGACACGCCCACGACACGCCCACGACACGCCCACGACACGCCCGCGACACGCCCACGACACGCCCGCGACTCGGCCATCTCTCGCCCACGACCGTCCCTGCTTGATGGCCTCAGGTCCGTGGGATGGGGCAGGCCTACCCGGAGGCACTACGGGCGCTCCCCTGCAATGCGACTGACCCGCGGCAGTGGTGGCACGAGTCGAACCGCAACGAGACGGGCCGCTGCTGCTCTGGGCTGCGCCTCTGGAATGCGGGTGAAGCCAGCAAACGCAAGCCCTCCAGACGCGCAACCTCGGCGCAATCTCGACCGCATCTCGATCGCATCACCCTCTCGCCCGCCGCCAGCCGTGGGCACATTCTCTTCCCCTCTCTTCCCTCCCACCAGCCCACCCCCTCCGCACCCACTGCCAGCATACTCGCCCGGCACCTGTTCACGGCTAGAGGTGTGAAGAGACGCTGTTCACACCACCCAGGGAGTGCAGCATACTCGCCCGCCGA